TGAAGGAAACTTTGCTGTCATTACTGGATATTGGATGCTTCGAAAAATTCCTAAATGCTGCCATGAAGAAAAGCTTTGTGACTTTTTGTTATAAATCACTGATGTAATGAGAGAAGTGTTGTGTGGAATTAGCTTTTGTGCTTTTTAGCTGTGAAATCAGAGGGTTGAAGCAGTTTAATTTGCTAATGATCATGCTTTCAGAGCAGAAACGGGGATGAAGCTGAGAAGTGGTTTGCTGTGGAGGTGGTGTTTAGGATGAAGATGAATTCAGTTGTCATCCTCCCTCTGCCTCTTGCCTTCAGGCTGTCAGTGTTCAGCCAGACAACAGAAGCAGCTTTTTGGTATTTTTTTTTCACCGCTGTGTTAATCCAGCCTTCCTCCCCCGCCATGATGCTGCCACCACAAAGAACAAGAGCGTTGTCCTTCAATAAAACCACACATCGTTGATGAATTTTTCCCTCTGTTGCATAATTTGTAATAAGACGTCCACTTTACCATGCATGACGCAAGACGGACGAATGTCATGCATGAAAGTGAGCTGAACTCAGACTAGAGATGGCGTGCACGTCAACCGGCTGACCTCTTGGGGCCTGCCGGCTGAGGCACGAGGCCATCAATGTGGATCCGCATCGCAGCATGGGGGGCCTTTATGTCTTGCACACAATGCAGCTCAAAACAACAAAGCAAAGTGGGCACAGCTATGTTTTTGCACCCATTTGCTGATCAGTGGTGACCCTATTCACTGCATTGATCATTGCTGTTTAGGGTGTGTGTGGGGGGGGTGGGTGTGTGTGTGTGTGGGGGGGGGGGGGGCTCACAGCCACCAGTAAGAGGACCTAGCTTCGTATTTACACTGTTCAGCTACATGGTGAGACTGCAGGTGCTGCATTAACTTTTTTAAAAGTCTCCCTAAGGCCTTTCAGTAGAGGCACTTAGTGTAAATAGCAGCAATCTATGAGGAATAAACGTGATCCATGCTGAGTTTATGATGGATACAGAAGGTCATATAGCAAAGCGTCAAGACATGAATACGCTGAGTCGAAATAAAGCAGCACATATGGACTAATGTGGTGTCATTGAGGGCAGACTTGGGAGTTTTGGATAGCTTTTGGCACCCACTAGTGGCCGTTTAGTAGAACCAAGAGCATGCGTTTGTCTTTTTAACACCTTAATCTAACATCTGAAATGTCTCCTCAGTCTTCATTAGTGTCTAGAGGAGTGATTCATCTATAAATTTAACAAATCAGCTGTGTTCATGGTCTAAACAAGCAGGAAAAGTGCAGGAAGCAGACTGCAGTGCCAGGTATGTCAGCTCAATTTTTTTTTCCAAGTCCAACAGACCGGACCGGCACTCTGTGACAAATCATTTGCTGCTGCAGCCCCCAGACTCTGGAACTTTCTCCCCTTGAGCCTGAGATCAGTGGACTCAGTGGTCTCCTTTAAAAAGCAACTGAAAACTCACCTGTTCAGGCGGAGTTTACGTGACCTTCATCACCACCCTGTTCCTATTCTGCCTTCCCCAGGACTCACTGATTTCCCTCTTTCCTATTCTCACTCTCTATCTCTCTATTTTTGCTTATTTTAAACATGTTTTTGATCATTTTTTAAAATCTTTTTTATGTTTAATTTTTTTTAGTTTTGTGATGTGCTTCGTGATATTTATCTTGAGCAGCGCTATAGAAAAGATCGCTTTCGTTCTTTTTCTTTCTTTCTTTTCTGAAGTCGCAAACGTGGTATTCTGGTCACAAAGGGCAGTGGGAGTCTGAGTGACATTCATTAACCCTACAAAGGGTCATTTTAGCACATACTCAAGAAAATGATTTAAAAATATGACAAATTTCAGTAGATGTTTCCTCATATGTGCATTTTGTAAAACACGACAGACCGAAGTGCTGATATTTCATAAAGCTGAGCAACAAACCAAAACGTACTGAAAATGAATAAATCTGCATGTGTAAATCTATATTTGACTCGTATTTCACAGCCTAAATGAGACTTTGGTAGAGTTTTTGGTGAGAAACACAAACATATTTGATAACGAAGTTAAACAAAACAAGCAATTAGCCCAAATCTCACAGGGCTCTGACTATTGGGGACTAGGTGGGAGGCACGAAGTAGCATTTTTAATGTTGTATGTGTCAAATCTTTGCATAAATAGCAAAATCTACATGAATATGATTTTTCTTGTTCTCAGGGTGTCTTGTCTGTTGTCAGTTTGTCTTTGTTGTATTTATAGTAATGTTGTGTTGGCTGATCTAACCTCCAGTCAGTCATGACTCCAGAGCTAATGACTCTTGAGCTCCTTGGAGGAAATTTTGAGACTTTTTTTATCTTGCAAAAGTTGCTTGAGCATTTTACATCAAATGAATCTAAAAGTGAGATTTATTTGCTAGTTTGAAGAATTCTAGCCAGGATCTTTTCTTTGTGGCAGATTTCTTTTACTAATAACAAGAAATGTTAATCACACCCGTTTTCTCCCAGCTGCATACACTGGAAACACCAAAACACACCATGATTAAAGAAAAACATTAGAGTGTTGGGCCTGCACGTTTACAAGTGAGAGGAATGGTAAATGGTGAGGTCAAAAGGTGGTTTTCTGTGATTTCTTCCTGCTTCCTTTTCATTTTACCCATTGCTACTTTGCTTATGCAAATCCACCCTGCTGCCTTTCATCAAACTAGACTTAGGTGGAACTGTGAAAGAAGAACCAATTGATTGATGGATTTCAGGAAAATATTGCGTTTTTATTTTGTTTCTCCTTTTATGTCTCTACATTTTAATTAACTGAAACCATTTTGATAGTTAAAAATATTTGTTTTCAATGAAAAAAAAATCCATCTCAGTTAAATTTGGTGCTTGTTCATCCCCTTCATTTTCATTTAATATTTTTAATGCAGTAAAAAGTTTGAATATTACAACTTGTAAGAATAATAAATGCACCTCAGGCTTAAACAAAGAACAACGCTCAGGCTTACCCCCCACCCCCACCCCCCAGACTCTGTGCGGTGAAAGTTCAAACGGAAAGCAGCGAGGCTGGATTTCAAAACAAACGATTTCCACAGTGGTGCTGCTTACATCACACCGCTGTTTTCGCTCCTCTCTGACCAGAATCCTCGGGTGTCACTGGGTTCACATGTGGGCGCGGCTCCGCGCATGCAGCGTGCTGCACCTACAACCCGAGACCCCCGCAGCTGCAGCTCAGTGCGTGAACCAAACGCACCACCTGATGCGTGAACGAAAAGAAAGGTAGATTAAACCTTCATCTGAGACAGAGTTTATCCTCGAATGACCCCAAACCAAGCTGAAACGAGAACATCCCGTTCCTTAGATATTAATAGTTCCCGTTGCGTCACCAAACCGTACAGCTCTGCTTCGCACGCAGTGCCGTCCCAAAGTGTGCAAACAGCACATTCTCCTCCAAAGCAAATAGGTAGTCATCATTCTCCACCAGCTGCCTGCAGCCGATGTGATCATCATCACCGCTGCTGCTGCTCCAGAAGGCAACAAGTTGAGTGCGTAAAAGTTAAATGGCGCCACTTTTTGCGTAAAGGTTTGGCGCACAAACGCTAAAGCCTACAAGACTTTCGCGCTCAGACCTGATGAGAACTTCAATGTAAAATAAACCATATGGTAATCCGCCCCCTTCCCCCTCTTCCTAGTTCTGAAGCCAAGTGAGGCTGGAGCTGAGCGCGCAGAGCCTGGCCCGCATCGCTCCAGAAGGAGCTGAGAGGGGAAGGACGGAAGGGAGGGAGGGGGGAGTCTCTGTTGCTATGCTCACTGGGAGTCTCCTGTCTGGAGAATCCGTGCCCAGGCTCTGACTCTGAGGCTGACTAAGCTGAATGTGGGTCAGCGGGAGTGGAGCAGCTCCAGCAGCCCACTAGAGGGGTTTATTTGTCTTTAATTATCAAGATTCACCAAAAACCCAACTAACTGACTGAAACCAAGTCTCACTCAGTGTTTTAGGTAAACCTGACTTCATTTCTGGCTTCAAAGCAACTCCAGCCTAGTGTTCTTAAAGATAAACAGCAACAGGAGTTTAAATCAACATTAAAAAAATATTGAACACATTTAAAGGATTTTGCTTCATTTTTCCACCAGACCTGCCAGTTAAAAGAAAAAGAATACCTTTATTAGTCCCTCAGTGGTGAAATTGCAATATTGCAATGGCTCAGGTAGCAGCAGTAGCACACAAGATATTGCACAAGAGTACATAATAAGTTAAGATAATTATTGCACATAGTAATGAGAGTAGTAGTTATATTGCACATGTTTTGAAAATATGATATTTGCAGTGGAAGGTTACAGATGTGTGACTATTACATACAGCAGCAGGGAGGAAAGATCTGCGGTATCTCTCCTTCGTACAGCGAGGATGGATCAGTCTGTTGCTGAAGCTGCTCTCCAGAGCAGACAAGGCATCCTGCAGGGGGTGTGACTCATGGTCCAGGATGGATCTGAGTTTTGCCAGCACCCTCTTGTCCCCCGCCTCTCGTACTGAGTCCAGACAACAGCCAAGGACAGAGCTGGACTTCTTTACCAGCCTGTCCAGCTTCTTTCTCTCCCTCTCTGTGATGCTGCTGCTCCTACACACCACACATACAGGATTGCTGATGCCACCACGGAGTCGTAGAAGGTCTTCAGGAGTGTCCCCGTCACCCCAAAAGGCCGTAGTTTCCTCAGGAGGTGGAGTCTGCTCTGGCCCTTCCTGTACAGTGCGTCTGTTGATGTCATACATTGTTATTTTTTTTTAATTGCTTGCTGTGAGTCTGAGAAATCAGCTTTGTTCCTGATAAACCCCACGTGATGGACTAGTTGTTATTGTGAATCATAGTAAAGACAAACCCGTGTTGGACTTTTGCTCCAACAGAAATGTTTGCACCCTGCTGCAGCTCAGTGACTGTGAATGCACAACATGCAGCCAGGAGGTGACATGTGAGCATGACTTTAGGCGACTCAGCTGTTTGTGGTCTTATCTGATCATCTCACACTCCCAAGATTAAGTTCAGACCCACAAAAGCTTGATCGTCTAAAGTTTATTTGTGGTAAAAATCTAATAATTAAATCAAAATAACAGCTGCATCATTTATTATCAAGACTTTATAGCATTTAGCCTCAGTGTGTGCAGGTTTTTAATGATTTGTCCGCTCCCACTCCCTCAACCAATTACTTCATTGCTGTTTGCTTGGTCTCACCACTACCATCTGTGTTTCAGATCAACCAGGGCAGTTCTAATTACAGTCACTGGCACGAGCCTACGGATAATGACCACGTTGCTATGATCAGCGGGATTATGCCAGCGTATGTCAGCTTGGACTTGAGCTTTTGTGCACAACTTGGACGATCAGTGAGGAGACGAGAGCATCTCTTTACCTCTGCACAGGTAAACACGTTTAAAGCAAGTGTTTATTTTCATTATTATTGCCACCGTTGACAGGAGCAGCTCTCCTCAGATAATAGAGATATTCAGTTGTTTCACTGCAAACTGTGCAAAGCTGGCCTGTCCGACAGGGCTGCCCGCAGAAAATTTTCACAAGGGGGTCCATGCAGATGGGGCCCAATAAAGATTTTGGGGTGGCACACCTGTGTTAACTCTGTGGTAACTGTGGGAGGGTTAGCTTGTAGCTTTGCGTTGAATCGCTCCTTTACTCTTTTTAATTTTAAACAGTCTATGCATTGAACATATAGCAATTTGAAAAAAAAAACTAACATTTCAGAAAAAAAAGACAAAATTTCAAACGGTTAGTGTTCCAAATTTATTGCTTTAGAATTTTAAAACTGTTTCAAAAATATCGGAAAAAAACTATTTTATTTGTAAATTTTAAAATAGTGAGCCTCACTGACACATACTTATTAAACAATTTATTGAAATAAAAATGTATTAAAGGGATTGTTGAGCCAGTTTGTACTAAAATGACCCTTTACAGGGTTGATGAAAGGTCACTCAGCCCATATCGCCCCCTGTAGCCAAAAAACTGCATTTGCTGGCTGATGTGCGCTGCAGTCTGCTTCCAGCATGTTTCCTGCATGTTTTAGATCATGAACACAGCTGATTTGTTTATTTAGTGATGAATCACTCCTGTAGACACTAAGAAAGGCTTGGGAGACATTTCAGCTGTTAGATTAAGGTTTTAAAAAGACAACAATGAGATGGGTTTTGCTTTTGGTTCTACAAACGGACACTAGGGGGTGCTAAAGGCAAGCAAAAACTGCCTAGTTCCCTTATAAGAGGAATTTATTTATTCTCTTTAACAGTTATGTTTTGATTAAAGCAGATGAAGGTATGGTTTGTGTGAACATGACTGTGCAGTTATTGGGGGGTGGTCTTCCCGAGAGGGGGCAACAATTTTCCAGGGGTGACCATGGCCCCCTGCTGGTCACCCTTTGGGGATACCACTGAAGATATCCGTAAATAATCACAACTTTAAAATTCACAATAAACGGTTTAAAGCCTTTGAGCAGCTGAAAGGCTTTCTAACACTAAACACTAAATCACGTGACTTGTCATGTTCCAAACAGGTCTAAAGTGATACATTGTGGTAAGTTGTCCTTTGTTGAATGCTGCTGAGATTATAGTGATTAATCTGCAGTCTCATTGCTTCTGTTTGCTCCAATCTCTGCAGAAATATAATCTGTGACCACTCTGACTCATTTGGTTTTGATTTATCAGGTAATTGGTAGAGAACATTTTCAGATCCTGTTGGTTATTGAGTAATTTCACACTTCTTCACCATGTGCACCCATGGGCGTTGCTCTGTAATAAATACTGGATGTAAAAATGTCAGCACTTCTTGGCGCTCGGATGTTAGTTGAGACTGGAGCAAAACAGTCAGAGCTCGTGCTGTTTTTACTCCACACGGATCCGGTACCTGGAACGTAGGCCGCCTCAGCTTCAGAGCAGCAGCCTGTAAATATTGCACGCTTTTAACGCTCACTAATCCCAGCTCCTCCTCTGAAAAGATAATCAAACAAGAAGAAAATGATTGAATTTTGCTCCTCTAGATGCAGCTGTGACACTCGTTCGTGTCTACTAAAGTGTGGTCGCAGTCTGACGCAAAGAATCATCCGTGGTCTGGCTTCAGTTCCTCGTGCAAAAGTTTTGATCAGCAGTTTTTCTCCTCCAGCTGTGTGTTCCCGTCTTGCATCCCCAGAGTGTTGTTACAGGGCAGCTTAAAAAAAAATCCATGTTATTCCCTTAGAAGGTCAGAGAAATAAAAGTTTTTGAGAGTGAATCTCTGTTCTGGTTGTTTGAATGTTGGCCCGTGAGCAGGTTCTGGAAGTTTACGCAGCTGAGCAAAGGACTCAACAACCTCTCTTCTGCTTCACCACTCCCTGGGAAAGTACAGACGCTGCACACACAAGCGTGTGAATTTGTGAAGCTGTCATGATCAAAGGAATGAGCCACTGCTCAGTTCTGTCAGAGAGCTGATTGTGAAATGAAGTCAAGCTTCCTACAAGTCAGAAGAGAGTTGCTGTTTTACAATCCCGCTGCAGCATCTGGATTCCCTGTTAGCCTCTATGTGGGCTATCCTGGAAATTCCTCACGCCAGCATGTTCCTATAGTTAACTAGAGCTAAATATGTTGGCTATATGATGAAGTATGGGATTTGTGGAAAGCATTTCTCCTGAGGGGAATAAAAAGTTTCCAGGAATAGACTTGCTGTAGTGATAAAATGAGCCAGTCTGTAAGCAGAAGCAGTCAGATGAGTGAGTGTGCACCAGGCTGCAAACCAACTACCATCTAAAAACAGGCCTGAGGTCTGCAACACCTCCTCCCATCTACTTCCCTAAAATCCGCTTTGTGCTGACAGCGACAACTGCCATGAGACCAGATGATCAGATTAGATGTTACCAGAAAATCATGCACTTTGAGTCAGTTTTTATTTTTTTACGACGGGTTAACCCGAATGTGCGACTTTGAGTAATCAACAGCCAGTGGGGTGAAGGGATTCTGGGAAAGAGTCGATCGGTGTAACAGTAGCAAGTTGAGTCATCAAGCAACGTCAGCCAGAAACGTAGCCAGCAGGAGGAAATTGGATAAGAAAATCATGTTTTATTGCTTTTTAATATTGCTGATATTAAAAATAATGTTGATTCTCATATGTTGTGTCTTTATAAGCATTTCAGGAAAAAATGTAAACAAAATACTTCTGTTGGATATAATTTTTCAACTCACTGGATGAAAATGTTGAGTTTTTTTTATGTTTTGTTTTTGATTTTTCAAAAGACCCAAATGCTAAAATGCACAAATCTCTAAAAAGCTTTGTATGACAAAACGTCGTTGAATAAATATAATAATAGTTTTTGTTGTTGCACTCTCAATCACTTGGCCATAAAAGCACATAGTGAGGGCTGTCCACAGCTCAGTAGGGTCCAAATCTGTTGTCACGTGTGAGGATTAAACTACTTGCAGGCCACAAAATTCTTAATTCTTAAAGAAATGCTAAATATTATAATTTACTTGTAATTTTATTTTTGCTCAATAAATGAATCAAGTTTTATTTGATGAACAGAGCAAAGTTGTGATTTTTGTGGAAGCAGATCTGCAAATACATTAAAAAGGTGTCTAAAAGATGTTTGCTTTATTTTCAATTCCCAGGATTTGGCTGGATGATTGTTGACTGAGGGACTATGGCCCTGTCCACACGTAGCCGGGGATCTGCCAAAACGTAGATATTTTTCTACGTTTTGGCCTGTCATCCACACGAAAACGGAGTTTTTTCACACGAAAACGGATCTTTTTAAAAACTCCGGCCAAAGTGAAGATCTGCGTTTTCTCCGTTTTGGGTGTCTGTGTGTGGACAGACAAAAACGGAGTTTTAAGATCTGCAACGTCACTTTCTGCGACAAAAAATGCTGACATCACGTGTGCGACCTGTGTTTACACTAGCCGACATTATGGAAGCCCTCAGAGCTGCGCTCGCTTTATCAATTGTCCAAGCGCTTGTTTGTTTTTGCAAGTGGAATTACTGCTCCTTGCGGAAGACCACAGAGGAAGGACGAGGTTAAGAACGGGGGAAGTACTACCGCCTACAGGTCTGGCGTGTCCTTAACAACGTATTTATCCGGGTACGTGCGGACAGAGTTATTTTTTTAAAACGAGGTGGTGTGGATGCAAGTTTTTGGAGGGGCGGATATTCGTTTTTAAGAAAACCCGGCTACGTGTGGACTAGGCCTATGTCTCTAGGCTGGACAGGGAACGCCTTGGGATTCCCCCGGAGGAGCTGGCCCAGGTGGACGGGGAGAGGGAAGTTTGGGCCTCTTTGCTTAAGCTGCTGCCTCCGCGACCCGACTCCAGACGATAATGGATGTGTCTTTTTGTAACTATTATAAATTTGTAAAATAAAATTAAAATTTGCCCCTTTAAGGCCTCATGGGAACTGCTCTTCCTGTAGCTGCTAGCAGCACTAGCAGCTGCTCAGAGGCAAACAGGAGAAGATGAGTTATTTTATTGTTTGCACTGCTAGCAACATTTTTATCATTACATTTAAATATAACTGTATTAGATTTTTAGTTTTTTTATTTTCCGACTGTAAAGTTACACCTTTAGGGGACGATGTTACCCAAACAGGAGAACACCTTTAAAGCTCATTTTAACTTTAAAAAATCTCTTTTGTGACTCATTTCACAACTTATTATTTGTTAAAACTGCAAAATATGGTTGAGTTTCATGAAATCTAACAAAAGTGTTGCCTCACATTGACATTCAATTGAAATCCTTGCCAAAACCAAGTTTCCCCTCATAATTAGCTGGCTTCTTTTTTGTGTTTGTGGGTGTGCCCAACATGCCCAACATGCCTTTGTGCAGGTTTCATGCAAATGTGCTGCATCACGATGTAAACAAGTAGCAAAGAAACACTTGAACACCATTTCTGCCAGTCAGACAATCAGGATGGAAAGAGTCATGAGATGAATGGATTTTTATTTGATGCGAGTTTGGTATTTTATGAAAGAAAAGATATGTAAAGTGCATTTTGTTTGTATGAGATATTATTAAAAGAGGAACTCAGGGTGTAACACAAACATCACACTGAGGGAACATGTCCGAACATGACCCACTTGTAGAAAACCACTAACACCATTTCCTCCCCTCAAGTTCAAGTCTGGCCCGTTGAAACAGAAATATATAAATCAGCTCGTTTAGAGAGCGTCGTCTCTGTGGTACATGGTCTCACGTTTTGTAGTGTTTGTCCCAGTTTGCGTGTTAGGAGCAGCTGTTTTTTCTCTACCGCAGTGCTGAACAGGGACTGAGCACACCTGAAGCTCCAGGTCTCAGGTGAGTGTGTTGTCTGTTTCCGTAGTGACCGGGACAAACATTGGCTGATCACCAGGTCAGGAAGACACGACTCTTGCTGTTTTGTATGTGCCGGGCGGTCACTGATTACCTGGATTAAAAAAAAAAACCTGCTGGCTCACAAACAAAACTAGAAACAAATGTCTTTGTTAAAGACATCCCTCCTACACACACACACACACACACACACACACACACACGTACACACGCACGCACACACGCTGTATTTTTTAATGTTTGGGTTTCCTTGCCAGAGGCTGTGCCAGTAAACACTTCTCAGGAACAAAGAAGACCTTCCAATTGAAGTCGCACAAAGAATCACGTCCTCCTCCCTGAATGGGATCTCATTACTTTCAATCACACGTGGAAGTGTTTTCAGCCTAACCTCCCTTCCCGCCGCTGGCTCCACGCCATGCGGTAGAAGCGATAAGGTTAGTCACACAAGCACTTACACATCGTCAAATAAAAACACGTGAGGGCAAATTGAGCTTGATGAAAGGAAAAGAGGGCAGGAGACTTGTGTTTAACGTCAAATATCGGAAACCCGAGCAAAGTTTCCTCCTTAGATTGCATCTGATGGTCCTGACCTTTCAGACTACACAGCTCCTGAGAAGAACGATCAGAACAAGCACAAACATTTATCACAATCTCTCAGGTCTCTGGTTTGACCTTTGTTCGTTCCCAAGAGACATACAGGGGCGCCCTCTAGTGGCAGAAAATGCAAAGTGTAAGCTGTTATTGGTGCAAAAGTGCAATTAGGTTTAATTGTTTCACTCACAGCTAATTAAGAGATGAACAATTATGATTTAAAAAATGCAGCAGGAGACCTGGATGGATGAAAGATTGAAGACATGCTGTTTAGTGTTGCATGTGATGTTAAATGTGTAACAAACTTTATTCTGTTCAGTTGATTTTTTTATTATCAGGTGGAATTTAATAATCTGCTAAAACTTGCATATATTTTTCACGTTATGCAAACTCTGCATAAGATAATGTGTGCATTAAACAACTCAAAATACGTCTTTCAGCAGTGTGAGAAGGAAAAATAGGCTGGTGATTGGAATCGGCCATTTTTTCCAGTTTCTGTACCATTTCTGTTCTGTTTAATCCTTTTTTAGATTCTGTTTACATTGTTAAATATGAAAAGTATTCTGTTAATAGTGGTTCATTTAAATAAATCAGAATCTGCAGGTCATGGTTACCCTATAAATCTAGACCAACCACAGCAATAGCTGAAGATATAACTCTCTCTGCAGGTCGGTCTAGCCACGCTCCAGTGTAGCCTCTGCAGGTCTACCACTGGAATGAACAGTCTTCTGTACTGCCAAACACAACCCTCTATGTTGCGGTGGACTTAATGCTAGAGCTGCGAAGGAGAAAATCTACAAACATGGCGTCTGCTAAGGAAGGGCCTTCGTTTGAAATGGCTTAGACTTGGGCTTTTCCCTGAGACACAAACACAAGAAGCTACTTTAATCATTTATTTCAAAGATGAATGTATTTGCTTCTTCTTCCTCTTTGACGGCGTATGATGGACAATCCCATTGGCTGACATCCATAGCGATAAGTATGTCGCATTGTTCTCTGCTCTGATTGGTCCTAGCGCTGTCCATTTGCCTATGGAAACAGTTTGACAGAACACCGTAGAGTCCACCCCTGAGCCATTTCAGTGGTTCGTGACCATATATTTTTACATACATAGGAAGGTTTGCCTGGCTAGGTCAGAGTTGGATGAGAATCAGAAATCGGTATCTGTCCTGGAAACTAGAATCGGTGCATCTTTAGCAAAAACAGCTTGAAAAATACCATAAACTAAATGCTTCTTTAATGAGTCGTTGAATGCTGAAAATTTCATTTTAATTCTAACCTTCTGACACACAAACAACAAATAACCTTGTTGTTTGTTAATAATCCCCGATTGAAATAGCCACTCCTGCAAATCAACAACAATTCTGCTTTCAAACTCCTTCTCATCCGGTATCTCTGCTCTCTTGTGCTCAGCTCAGTCCTCCACCTTCTCCTGGGGACTAATAATCTCCTCACTGATCGTTGCAACAGATAATAAAGCTCATTTGCGCCTGCTGCTTACTAGGAGAAATTACGCATTATCCATTCAGTCGGGCAGGCAACTGGACACATGGCTGCAAGTGACAAGAAAAAGAGAAATTGTCCGTTTTTGAGTTTATCATCAGAGGATGTTTGCAGACAGCAGCAGGTACAGTTGTCTCTCGTGGCTCATATCACAACATTACTGTCAGGTGATTTTCTTTTAACCTCTCAGCTTTCATTACTTCATTTACACATGGTTTAAGTGGTAATTAACTTTAGATCATTTTGACAACTTCTACTTGTTTTCAGACGCTTTCATTGCGTTTCCAGCAGAGGGAGGTGCTGGATTTCCAGATTAACCGCTGAAACTGATGGGAAAAGTTCGCTGAGAGGTTTCACGTTGCTCTTCACTAGTAGATGGAATAACTCGTGCTCACTTTGTAGAGCCGTGGTGCAAAGCTGGTGGTGATGAACGGAGAAATTTCAGCTCACCCCTAAATGCATATTGGGATATTTTAACCGTGCAAATTCCATTTATTGAGTAGAAAATGTTCACAATTCCCTAAAGTGAATGAAGATCTTGCCTTGGCTAATTGAAAGCATGGTTACCTGTGTGTTGGTGGTGTGTTTCATCCCTCCAGCTGGGACTCAACTGTTTCCCCCTTCAGAAACGCTGACCCTCATCTAATGGGACAACCTTCGGCTCTCTGCCAGCTAACTTTTGCTTGCATGGCTTCTCTGAGCCTTTTTAGTGTTGTTGATGTGCCAAAGCAGATTTACATCCAATCACCATTTATTAAATCTCTATCCATTAGACTCCAAGGCTTCAAGAGCTGGCTGCATTAAGCCTGATTATGGGATGCCCAGTAGAGGAAAAGGGGACTATGTGTCATTGAGTGATGTATCTCCCTGGATGGGATCGTTTTCGTGTCAGTTGGGTGCAAGCTGCAAAGAGGAGAGAAAAGCAATCAAACTTAGGCTGATGCAGAACTAATGCGTCTCCTGTTTGAGGTATTGAGTCCAGGTGTTGCTGCCGTAAATTGGCTTTGTAGCTTTTTTAACGTCTGCTGCTCTCCGAGGATCCTTTTCTCAATTTGAATCTTCAGCATGGACGCTAAAGCCCAGGCCGGCACGTTTAAACGATCCTCTCTTAAACGCAGCACATCT